ACAATTTTGAACAGAAAATCTGTGAACCGCAAATGTCACATTTGCTCCGTAGTTGTAGAAAATCTGTTACACCAAATGCTTCCAAATTTCCTTCAATACAAGCTTCTTAGTATGCTGAATGCAAGGCTATGGCTGAATGGTAAAATAATCTTGAGTATCAGTATGCTACCACCATTTCCGTCCTTTTTCCAACATTTTTTATCATCAGGCCACTGCCTTTTTCATCCACGCCTCAAAGGTAGTGTGCCAGCTTTCCTGGACCGTATGGAGTTAATGGCCCAGATAAGGAGAACCGGATTTTTAGAACTTATCCATACCTTCAAAACTCATGGAAACGTCTTAAATTCTTCAAATTTTGAGTACCCCAGTGCGAAATTCGCCCCGACGGGTTGTCGGTCGTACCCCAACCACATTTCACACCACTATGAACAATAAATGCACACACTGAAATCGCTATTACCGATATGCTCATCCAATCAAGTTTCGATAAACCCGTTCATCATCAGCTCCTGCGGTTTCGAACACGCCTGTTAGGTGGTGCGGTAGACCACGCCCAAAGCCAGGGCCCCGGTAACGTGAGGTAGCCGAGTCAGGGCAGCGTGCGCTGACCCAAGCCGGAGCCGCGCGTCCTCCCGGTGTCATGTGATAGCCCGGGGCTGCCCGCGGGGATGCGGTAGACCGCGCCCAAAGCTGCGGCCCCGGCTTGGGTCAGCGCACGCTGCCCCGACTCGGCTACCTCACGTTACCGGGGCCCTGGCTTTGGGCGCGGCTTCTGCTCATACTTTGTGGTGCGGTGGTGGTGCGTCCGGCTGCGCGCTCTGACTTCGGCCAAGAAAAATGCGTCAGCTGATCATTGTCATTTCTGCCACTTGCGTGTGGTGAAATGGGGTCATAACTTATGAGACGGCTTTTTCATATCAATTATTTTACATAAAATCATATTTCAAACCATAAATAATGTTCGACAGCCAAATAAAAGAAACAATACCAATACGGGCTTACAGTTTAAGGCTCGACATTGTGTTGTCTACGATTAGACAGCTGATAACTCATTCCCGTACGTCGTATGGTCGTAACACTATAATGACCTTTGCTTATTGTCACAAGTGCGCCGCATTCGCGATTGTTGCCGACGCCTGTTTGCAGGTGAGCCCACTACAGTTGTTATACATATCTAAAAACCGAAAAACTTTTAGGCGAAAAAGGCACTATTCCAGGCCCATTTTTGATTTTTTTTTGCGATATAAGGTAAAAACAGAAGCTTCTTATCCTAGGAAAAATAAAATGGGAAATCTTTCAAAGGTGGCACACTACCTTTAATGAGCCCCCTGCATTCTGATCCAGGCTGCACGTTCACCTTCATCCGACGTAGGTAGCTCCAAGATTCCAGTAGTACATACCTACTAAGGAATCTTGCCTGCCTCAGTCCTCAGGACAGGAGCAGTCTCATCGTGCGATGGCCGATGGGTGACTGTTCGTGCGGGGCTGTTCGGCAAATACGTGATTATACATACGATGGCATAATTGTGCAATGCTATCATGCTATTCAGCGTTCAGTCATTTTCGATTCTCAGGACAGTCAAAGCCTTTTCCTTGACGCGCCAATAAGCCCGGGTTGGACGGTCACCTTATTCGACGTGAGCAGAGTAGTTCCTCAGAGTGCGAACATTCTTCGGAGCAGGTTCACATGCGGTCCGCGGAGAGGCTACCGTTTAGGGGACTCAGTTAGTAGTTTACTCTATCCATCGTGACGGGCTCATCAGCCTCGGCAGCGCACCAGGGTGACCGCCCAGGCCTCTCCGTAATTCCCATCATTCTTTCGGCTCTGAAAATCATTAGATAGAACGACCTGACCCTACATTAGTAGCGGCGGAACATCTTCAATTAATGGGGGGGGGGGGGCACTGCCGACTTTTGGTCCCATTCTTTCCATGCAACGCCCATGTTAAAGGGGCTAATGTTAAAATGGCACTAAATCAAGGGGACACGGTGCCCCGGTGCCCCCCCCCGTTTCGCTGCCTATGCCCTACATACAAAACAAACAAAAAATAACTGGTCTTGTTGTGTGGTGGGAATGATGACGCCCATTACGCTGCATTGGCATAGGCGGACATTTGGCAGGGACATGAAATCAATTAGAGACGTAGTGTAGGCTGTAGCCTAGTAACTAGTCATTGTATTATGGTTGAAGCTCAAGTAGGTACGTACCCAAAACAGCTAGGCACGAAAAAGTTTTTGTTGTCCATATACGACACAACTGTTAATTGCAAGGCTATATGCTATGCATAGGTATACCTAACCGTTTACCGACTGACTGAGTGCGACCAGCCTTCTAGGTAAGTACCTATAGCCTTCACGGTAGGGAAGACTGCAGGGCATCTAAGTCTTCAACATTCTCTTCTCTGTACCTATTGTGACTTTTATTGACCAAGATTCCTTTCCAGTCGGGTCTTCTTCCTATTTACCGTGTTTGTGACTACTAAATATGTATAGGTATGCTCATATTTGGCCGTCAGCTAGAGCTGAGCAGATCGAGCAATGTCACACGAAGAGAGACTGACTATGTTGCAAAGTGACTGTTGGATCTAGCAATGCATTGTAACTAGCTGACGGACCGTGACCTAAATAGGTGTACCCCTTGGCGCCTATCGCGTTGTAGAAACACATGTCATTAATTCCGCCCTGTGCTCCCCTGTGGTGTAATCTCACGCTCCGGGCACAGGCGGTGAGTGGATCCTCCCCCGCGCGGCTGCAGTTGATCGGACGGACGGCCGACCGCAGTCGGTCGGACGGCCGACCGCAGTCGGTTGGACGGCCGACCGCAGTCGGTCGGACGAACGGTCGCAGTCGGTTGGACGGCCGACCGCAGTCGGTCGGACGAACGGTCGCAGTCGGTCGGACGGCCGACCGACCGCAGTTGGTTGGACGGGCGGCTGCAGTCGGTCGGACGGCCGACCGCAGTTGGTCGGACGGGCGGCTGCAGTTGGTCGGACGGGAGGTCGCAAATGGTCGCAAGGCCGGCCGAGAGTTGCACCTTTCGGACGTTAGTTGCACCATTCAATCTTCAGGGATGCCGGGGAGCAGTGCCGTTGCACCGGTGATCTGTCTGTCGGAGATGCGATCTCCGGCAGGCAAGTCGACCGGGGCAATATTGAATCATTCAAATAGGTAGGGGAAGCGGGGGGGAGCACCGCCACCTTAAGCATTTCTGCTCACCGAGCTGATATGCGTAGTAAAAACGAAGCTCTTTTGCATTCATGTGAAAGTAGGAATGTTTTCCTACATGTTGGCATAGTTTCCAGCGCTCCGATATAAAATTTCGCTACTTTACAGACGTCGAAAACAAGTCCTGCATTTTTCGTCCTCCAAAAAATGTGCGGGTAGCACCGCCACTGATGGCGATGTTATCCACAGATCGGCCTTACGGTGACAGCCACCCTTGGAAGCGTTACTGCTGTCTGAAATAGTAACTCAAACTCATATAAGACACACAAGAATTGGTTGTTAGTTTGTCACAGATCAGACTGTTTGTTGCGGACAATATGCATACAAAGCATGACAAATTCACGTTTATTTCGAAACATCCAGTGAAGTCAAACGTGAGGTTAAAAAACAGACGACGTTTGCGGCCTAACTAAAGCTCTTCTCCGAGCTGAGTGAATCATCATTGCGGCTTTATCCATTTTGCCACCCCTTGGGGTAGCACCGCCGAGCATGGCGGTGTTACCCCACTCACAGTCATGGACCGACAACGCCCCGACAGCAAAACAAGCCGGGACGCGATTCTTCTGTAATTCCTTTCTCAACAAAGAGCACTTCATGCCCTCAAATTTAACGTAAAAATCAAGGCATTTTGACTTGAAATGACCACTTACTTGCTGCTCAAACATGCCAAATGATTACAACGATGGTTTGAAATTCACAAAATGGGCAATTGCGATCTCAAAATCAAATAAATCTTAGCGAAACCTACCTCACGCGGCGTCCCGTTTCCGTTCGGACACCGAAATGGCATGTGTTTACATTTACAATTCAGAGTTTTGCCGATAGAGAGGATGGCGGTGTTTCCCACATGGCGGTGCTACCCCCGCTTCCCCTATGAGTATTCACGCCAGGTCCAAAAATGCAAAAAATAGGCGTTGAACTATAACAGAGTTGAATGCTTGAGATGCAGTTTGTCAGAGCTCGAAGTGACAGCTGATCGATGGACGACCTCCTTATACCACTAGGATAACCTTACCGGCGCGACTATGAGCCGTGACATGCCCCTGCAGTCCCGTTACGTCCTTGGTCTGCACTGCAGTGTAAGCACGAAGACGATGTACACTCTCAGGGAGGCCAGGCCAGTACGAGGCCAGGGAGATCGGTGCCGGGTCGGAACAGGCGCTTATTGGTTCGGATAACGCTAATTCACGTGTGCATAATACAAGGTCTTAGCGTGCTTGGGAGATTCTGGGGAGCGTTACCGGACGATTCCCCCAGCTCGTTGCATCAATTGTGGTCGTGTGTGTTTGAGGTCGCCAAAGCAGGCCCTGGGCCTGGCCCCTGTTTATAGTGTTCGGAATGAAAACGAGACTAAGAGGTACACGTGTGTTGGGCAGGAAGGGGGCTTTGCAGGTTTCTCTAAACGCGTACGTGGTCCTAGCAGAAGAAAGTTGTGCCTACCGTGCTACGAGTCATTATGGCGATGCTGTTTAGGTCTTAAAACGTAGCGCCATTGACTGCAACCTGCATACAGCACCACATTTAGCATTTGATTAGTAAAACGTGAGCAATTGGCTCATGAAATTATGCAAATTGAGGGTCATCTCACCGGTCTGCAAGCGATCATATAACTTCCCAATGTAACTGGACTGAAAGACGTCAAAAACCGTGCCAATGTCAGGGTTGTTCGGCACAGGGCACCGTATATAACCCCGCGAATACCAAACGAACGCCATCAGTGTTCAACGGCACATCACAGAAACTCAGTGCAGCTAGTACATCCAACTAAACCAGCCATGAAAATAGTGAGCATCTGGCCGGCGAAGACGCTACCAAAAGAGCGTCTTCTTTTCCATTATCAAAACAGTTCTTCTTAAAATCATTTAGATAGTTTTTGATAGTTACCTACACGATAAAAAAGTCAGCTAATGTCGACGTCATCAGGAGGATACGGCGACTGTTGCCTCATGCCTGGACCAGATCTGATAGGCTGATAACCAGTTCCTTTCTCAGGTGTTGGCGCTTTCTGTTCTGGCGGTGGCTGCGGCGGCGCCTCAGGGCTACGGAGCCCCTCCCCAGGGCTACGGAGCCCCGGTGGGCGGCGCAGCGGCCTCGCAGCTGCCAGTCTATGGCGCCTCACAGGGGTCTGCCGGAGCCCAGAGCCAAGACGCTCAGGCCAGAACCATCAGCGAGGAGAACATCAACAATGGTGACGGCACCTACCGCTTCAGGTAAGACTGCTTACTGATAAAGAAGGGAATATGCGGTTATCGCCAGCCTTCTACGTGTCTATTGTAGCTAATTAAATTTTTCGTGTGATGTAAAACGAAGTTGTTTTCCACTTTTTCCAGTTTCGAGACGGACAACGGCATCCTGCGAGAGGAGGAGGGTGACGGCACCCAGGTGAGGGGCAGCTACAGCTACACCGCCGACGACGGCACGCCCGTGGAGATCACCTTTGTGGCCGACGAGAACGGCTTCCAGCCTGAGGGCGACGCGCTGCCGACGCCGGTGCCCACAGAGTACCCGACACCCGAGGTGCCGGCCACGGAGGCGGCAGCGGGCTCCTACTCGGCTCCTGCGGCTGCAGCGGCCTCCTACTCGGCTCCTGCGGCTGCAGCGGCCTCCTACTCTGCCCCCTCGGCGGCAGCGGCCTCCTACTCGGCCCCCTCGGCTGCAGTGGCCTCCTACTCGGCCCCCAGCCGCTCATACGGCGGCGCCTTCTAAAGATAAGATTGAATCGATGACTCCCCCGAAAGACAGCCAGCCTTTGACCGGCGACAACTATCGCCCATTTGAACTTCATGATGAGAATGGTGGCGTAGATTTAATATCTGATAAGTGTAAAAGAGATTGAAGAGCGATTAAGATGATGTCTGATTGTCGTCACGTATGCCTGTGTTTGTGTGTCCATTGTCTGTATTTATAATTACCCTTGAATGCGATAATGTCGCGTGTGATACGTCTCCATGTAGGTATGTTAATAGTTTTATTTATTTATTAGTCGTCTGTCATCCGTCTATGTTTTATAAATAAAACTACAAATAGCAAACATGTTTATAACCCGCACATTGCTATGTACCGGAGTTCCAGATCCAGTCTACAGAGCGCTTAGTAAACAAAAAGGCAGACGCACTTTCCCCGCCTTTTTAATTGTACTCCACCGCATCCCCGCAGTCGGGCAAGATCATGGCCGGCTCAAAGGCGCGATCGCTCTACCGACCCTTCAGAGTCCAGTGAAACCCCCCAGACGGTGCTATGATGACCGGTCCACCCGCGCTGGCCGGACAGTAAAGGACCACGTAATAACCTGCCGGTCCCCCTCGCGGCTCTCACGGCAGCGCGGCCGGGAACGGTGTCAGTCTCAGAGTGTATGTCCGTGTCACGGTCATCCTGTCGGGCCTGTGGGTATAGTAGGTCGGACAGAAATGTGTTATGTAGATAGGAGGGAGCGGCACATCACACACTTGGCCTACAGCTGCGATGCCGATAAAAAGTTGTTGCTGCTAATTTGCTGCGTTACAATGGGAACCGTTGATAAAAAAATAAAGAGCACGGAATAAAAATGTAAAGTATATTGTGAATGGAATCAACCTCTTCATCTCACCAACGAACAACAGCACAAAAATGCATTACAGAAAAGAGTAGCATCGTGTAAAGCCTCAGCTTACAACTAACAATACTACAGGATCAACGAAACACAACGCTTGAGGACCACTATGAGGGATATTGTATAAAACACAGAACACCAGAAAAGCTACCAAAACTCGTGGTAGTAAAACATAGAAACACGAGAAGGGGTTACACATCGTCGCTGTAGAGTATTAAAACCAGTATTAACAACAAATGTTACGTGAAACATGACTGGATATGAAAAGAAAGGCTCATATAACGGGCTTTTCTAACTGACTATGAAACATACTAAATAAAGATGACATTTATCCAGCACGTGATGAAAATACGATACCGGGACGATAGCATCTTTGCTCGAAGAAAGCAGCAGACCATACACGCAATAATATCCATATTGAGATACGGACCGGACAAACAACTCTCACAGCCGGTGTAATAAAAACTTCGAGATTGTGAATATGAAAAGGGAAGGGGCAGCCCGCTCCTCATTCCTCACCCAACACCGCTGCAGGATCAGCGGAATAACACGCTACACTGCCTCGCTCAGAGAGGTCGGTACGTCTCCATCGGCACGGGTAGCAGCTCGTGAAGGGAGCGATCGTACGGCGGCGGTGCTCCGTGCGCCCCGCGCGCTGTCGACGGAGGCTGGTGATGGTGGTGATGGTGGTGGTGGTGGTGTGTCACAACAAACTCGGGCCCAGTCACATCAAAACCCGCCGGCTGCAGAAGGTCGAACCGCGGCGGCGGCGGCGGTGGTTGAGGGGGCTGGGTCACCGTCTGAGCATCGCTCACTGGAGGCGGCGACGGCGGCCGAGGAGGCGGTGGATTGGTACGACCAGAGACCGTGCTCGCCCCCTCCGCCGCCGCCTTAGCACCCGCACCGTGCTGGCTCTGTCCGTGCCGCGCCAGGTTCGAGCTGGTGCGGAACCGGGCGCCACATACGCCGCACTGGTGCGGCCGCTCGCCGCTGTGGATCCGGCCGTGGTACACCAGGCCCGAGGGGTTCTTGAACGTCTTACCGCAGACGGCGCAGGCGTGCGGCCGGCGCTGCGAGTGCACGGCAGCGTGCTCGCGCAGCTGCGACGCCCGGTGGAACGTCTTGCCGCAGTCAGCGCAGCGGTGCGCCGCCGGCTGCCGGTGCCGGCGTAGGTGCTGGCGCAGGCTGGAGGCGTGTAACAGCGTCTGGCCGCACAACTCGCAACTGAACTGGGCGCCGCTCGTGTGCGCGCTTCGTTCGTGTTCAGACAGCGCTGACGATGAGCGGAACGTGCGCGAGCAGGAGGAGCACGCGTGCGGCCGGGCGCCCGTGTGGATACGCACGTGCGTGTACATGTAGGTGCGTTGTGTAAACTTCTTGTCGCACAACGTGCATTGGTAGGTTTTCCCATCAGCAGAGACAGTCCAGAGGCGAGATTGAGACTTGTGTCGTTCTGTCAACACAGACGTTGACGCCTGTAATAAATATCGGTAAAGAAAAATGATTTCGAATGGTTTGAACAGAGGATCGACAAACTAGAGCCTGTGCTAGGCTGAGCTTGCTGGGCCTTCAACGTGCAATTAGAAACACATTCGACCTCTTCGCTGACAACCGGACCACCCCGGTCCATTAAAATGTTTGGAGGCCCGCCAATCTATCATCTGTCACTGCCGTCCCTCAATAAAACAGAATTGGCAAAATATAACGGAAGTTTTATTTTAGACACTAAATATTGGAAGCTCTCACGATTGTTTGCACGTTTAGAATATGTAGGGATCACTTAGAAACTCCAATGTTTGAGAAGTGTTCACGATGGGTGCATCGGGTACCAAGCCAGCAGCGGCCTGCGGGACCTGTTTAGCCCCAGAGCCTCGCCAGCCTCGCTTACGACTTGCGCGTGCCAGGCGGATCACCGGTATGAATTAAGTTCGATCTTCGATTTTCGATTTTTTTATGGGCAGGAAGCAGAACGGTCCTCTCGAACGTAATGGGCCTCTCTCGCCAAGTCCAAATCAGCTCGATACCTAAATAACAGTGTCAACAGTCTGCTGTTTCCCAGTGAAGAGCTGGCAATGAACTGTCAGTTAACAGGTGCTTTAGCCATTACCTAGGTGATGCAGAGGAAATCCATGTGTAACTGGGAAAACTTTTATTTAGAAATGTTTGAGCTTCAAAATTGTCACTTACTGCTATTAGTTAAAAAAAAAAACACCAGTAAGCCCTGCTAATTTCAAGAATCATAGTACAATATAAAATATGCATTATAAATTTCACAATATCCAACAAGGAAAAAGCGAAACACGTTGCAAATATTTAGTAGGAAGTAAAACAGGTGATTTGTTTTTACAATAATTTTCATGTAGGTGATGAAATTTGAGAGGGGCTTTGGGCTAATCCAAACAAGACATAAAGTAATAAAAAGCACAAAGTGGTGGTTTACTCACCTGTAGTTCAGTGGTCTGGTCTTTAGCAGCAGGTTTGTGTTGTCCTTGCCCAAGATCTTGCCAACCTGAGGCCATAACAAGATCAGTTGATTTTATGTTTTCACAATTTCAGATAAAAATATAGGTAGCTTGAGTGTTGGATTGTTTAAAGGTAGTGTGCCACCTTTGAAAGATTTCCCATTTTATTTTTCCTAGGATAAGAAGCTTCTGTTTTTACCTAATATCGCAAAAAAAATCAAAAATGGGCCTGGAATAGTGCCTTTTTCGCCTAAAAGTTTTTCGGTTTTTAGATATGTATAACAACTGTAGTGGGCTCACCTGCAAACAGGCGTCGGGCAACAATCGCGAATGCGGCGCACTTGTGACAATAAGCAAAGGTCATAATAGTGTTACGACCATACGACGTACGGGAATGAGTTATCAGCTGTCTAATCGTAGACAACACAATGTCGAGCCTTAAACTGTAAGCCCGTATTGGTATTGTTTCTTTTATTTGGCTGTCGAACATTATTTATGGTTTGAAATATGATTTTATGTAAAATAATTGATATGAAAAAGCCGTCTTATAAGTTATGACCCCATTTCACCCATTGACCTATAATAAGTATAGACAGACTACACTGGCTTAATCAGCGCCTGAAGGCCGTTCCCGCTGAGCGACACTAGCGCCACCGTACGTGTAAGGGCACGAACTAATGACACAATGCTTTGTCTATGGGAAAAACGCAAAAGTTTATCAACTTCTTTCGCGTAAATGACACGACGGAACGGAACGAGACTGCATCTACAATGAAGAAGCGTCCAAGCTTAATCACTTGAACATAGCACAAAGTCATAGGGTGAGGGACACGGCACGCGCCACGTGCCAACTAAGTGGTGACAAATTTGTTCAATCAACAATAACTTTACAACGGCTGGGTTGATTGAGCTGAAACTTGGCATGTCGTTGGACATGCAAATGATGATGCATTTCCACGTGTCACGGTTTGGGTGCTGGTGCACGTGCGCACGTGCAGGGTACGCTTCCAGATCTCGAGAACGGCTAGGCCGATTGCGCTCAAATTTGGTACGTCGTTAGGGACCGTTTGACAGGGTGCCGTGCACAAGTCAGTTTGGGTCCAGCTTGCACGTGCGCACGTGCAGGGGTCGCTTCCACATCTCGAGAGTGGCTGGGCAGATTGTGCTCAAATTTGGTACACCGTTAGGGACTGTTTGGCAGGGTGCCGTGCACAAGTCAGTTTGGGTTCAGCTTGCACGTGCGCACGCGCGAGGGGTCGCTTCCACATCTCGAGAACGGCTGGGGAGATTGCGCTCAAATTTGGTACACCGGTAGCGACCGACTTTTCCGAGTGGGGCCACTTTCACATCTCGAAAGAGCGGCTTTGCCATTGCGCTCAGAATCATCATTTCTAGATCCGTTAAAGGAGCTTCACTATCACGTAGTTTTGCAGGTCCCATGCGCGTTTCTCTTCATGATTGCGAATTCGATTAATACAGGTTGTTAGTTGATTTAACATTATGTATTGTGCATTTAAGATGAAGCTCAGCAGTAACATTCATGACATCATCAAAGCATCGTCAAAGCATATGAAGACATAAAAATAATGTTCATGGTAGTAGAGACTGTAGGATGAGTGGCGATATACTCATACCAATCTGAGTGCACATAATGATGCATCATTTTATTCACCCATGAGCCTCTTTAACCCGCGTCCGGGTGGGCCTTTCAGCCAACTTCGCCATAGTGATGGGAGGAGGGGGGACGTATTTGTCAACGCCATATTATCTCGCAAAGGAAGAAAGATAGAAAGATGCGGAAAGGGCAGTAGGTAGCTCGCTATAAGAACTCTGAGAATCATCTTGACAATTTTTCAATCAGGTCATCGCTAAAGGTCACTGGTGATCACCAAAAGTTCACGAATTCTGGTTTTCGATTAACGTTCCACAAATCAGCGCACACACAAGTACCTAAATGAGGGGCCTTCTGCTCTTGAGCACTTATGTTGAGACACGCAAGAAATAATTAAGCCAGTCATTAGCAGGTCACACTTGGTAGGCATTTCGACTGTTGCAGTCTTGCTGAGCTTCCATTCAGTTTTCTTGACGGCTCCAGCCTCCATCGTGTTTAATTGCAGTAGCAACTTACAACTTAAGTTCTTCAATCTTTTTTACTTTATATGTTGGCCATAAGTCGGGCTATGTCTGGTTCAGTTGGCAGATGAATTTCAGCACACATCAGAAGCCTTCCAGCAACAGGAACATAGGCCTGTGCCTTCTTAGGTAGACCTTGGGTAGACCTCTTCCAAGCCGTTTCTTATGACATTTGTTAAGATTGCAAGTGTCTTCAATGTCCCAAAATTTGTCGATTTGGGTGGGAAACGACATCCAAATGAAATTAATTTTCCACTCTCACCACCAATTTTTAAGAACAATTTTCCACTCCCAACCAAGAAAACATAGATTTTTTACCTATAGAAAGAGCAGTTGTGTGGATGCCCGGTTTAGCATCTTAACATTCTACACCCTAGAATAAAATGCATGCTTTTTGTCATTTCTCACTGCTGTTGGATCGAATCAAATCAGCAGTTTCCACTCTCTCCCCTCTTTTTTGGTGGGTAATTTTCCCCTCTGACACCCAAGACAAAACTCAATTTTGGGACACTGAGTGTCTTTCAGTTTTTTCTTCTCTTGACTCTAGCCATTAGGATAAAAATATCAGTGTCTGACTGATCTAGCAGATAAACAGGATAAATTTAAAGAAAATGAAATAGAATGCTTTAATTACATAAATACCAAAAATCTCAGATCACACTGCTTGAAATGCTTGCTGTAATAACATAAGTTAATTTTATCGCCTTGAAATGATTCACTTATCACGTGCAATATGTGCTTGATATTTGTTTTGTGCTCTTTATTGGTGACAAACTATCTTTTCTTGTTTAATATGCACAGGACTGTCAACACACCTTACGCAATTTGCAATGCGGCAACAATAAATGATGCCGAGGACTTTGTTTATTCCGTTACCATGGAGACGATTTCGTGAGGCTTGACTTCAAACCTTAAACGTTTAAATAAATGTTTTGTAGTAAATGTTAGCGTTCTGATACACATTTTAAAATAAATTAACGTTAAATATTTAACAAACTTTTATTTCTACGTCCGTACTTAAAGGTTAGGATTGCCCTTATCCTGCGCTGTAATTTCAGAAAACAATTTGCTTCTTTGGTCGACGAGGAACGCCGCAAAGACGCGAGTAGTTCGTCTATACTTATTATAGGTCAATGATTTCACCACACGCAAGTGGCAGAAATGACAATGATCAGCTGACGCATTTTTCTTGGCCGAAGTCAGAGCGCGCGGCCCGACGCACCACGCGTATTTGGAAATTCCGACCTCGACGAGCATCAGAAGCCACCTAACAGGCGTGTTCGAAACCGCAGGAGATGATGATGAACGGGTTTATCGAAACTTGATTGGATGAGCATATCGGTAATAGCGATTTCAGTGTGTGCATTTATTGTTCATAGTGGTGTGAAATGTGGTTGGGGTACGACCGACAACCCGTTGGGGCGAATTTCGCACTGGGGTACTCAAAATTTGAAGAATTTAAGACGTTTCCATGAGTTTTGAAGGTATGGATAAGTTCTAAAAATCCGGTTCTCCTTATCTGGGCCATTAACTCCATACGGTCCAAGAAAGCTGGCACACTACCTTTAAGTGAGCACCTTCTGTAAAGTTGAGCATGGCACTGAGGCTCACAAAGTCAATAAAAAGGAAGATGCTATCATTCATAAATCATACAATCACATCTGATTAAAGAAACAAAAATACAAAATAATGAAATATCACCCACAAAGTTAGGTAGCACCCAATCCGATGTCAGTTGTGACTACGTCACAGACTGGCAACAAGGCCTTGTCACAAAGAAGTAAGAACAATGGGACACAAAGCAGGCTGATTTGAATTTTGAGGTAGGTAGTGTTCCAGTCAGAAAAATGATTCGTGGATAGCTGGAATGGTGAAATATCAGGTACCTACCTACCTGAGTAAGAAGGATGACCAGCTTGAGCTCCTTTTTCCATAACTTGAGCTTGAGCTGGCAGGATGAACGAGGAGCTGCTGCAATCTGTAGCCTTTTTGCTTTCTGTGAGAAGCTGAGCAGTATGTGCATTTTTGTACTTGACAATCACATTATCCTTAATGGTTCTTACTTGTACCTCATGATGACTTATATCATCAACCAATTTCTGGCATGCCTTGCATAAATAACAAAGCTCAGAACCATGCTGAACTTTAGCGCTACTTAGAATAACATTTAAAATGTTTCGGTAACTCTTATCACTTGAATCGCACATATTATCCAGCATAGAGGAATTATCAGCATTTAGTATATCACTGAGGCACACATAACACTTCAGTTTTGATGTTGGCATTTTCAATTAATCCTTCGTGCTTTTAAAAATTGCATTGTTTTGAATTTTCATGTGCTCATGTACAGAAAATACGCAGCTGAGACATTTCCAGCACAAAACAAAACCTACTAAACTGCTGCAAAGAAAATAAGGTGAACGACTATCAAGCACGGCGCAACTGCACACATCATCCATCGGACCTCATTGGCATAGCTTTTTGAAAATTTAGGCATAAAAAAGCTATTTCTTCCATAAAATCCCACATATGCTGCTGAAACACCGATATTTTTGGTGAGACTCGAGCTCTTTTGGGCCTATATCACTGAACTCTGTAATGCCTATATAGAACGGCGTAGATCTGGTAGCCGTCGATAATAAAAATATTCCGAATCCTAGCACCAATACCTACCTATCGTTTAAAAAGTAAGTAAATCATTGGGAACCAATTTTGAGTCAGAAGTCACTCACCTGGTTCACTCACCTGGTGGGGTTCCCAATCTCACGTCTGCAGACAGGAAGGAGTAGGCAGGGATACAGTAGGAACCCGCAGACACAAGGCGCATGGGCGTAACCACCGCGCTGGAACGCTGGAAATTCCAGCCCATTTTTGGGATGCTGAAATGCCGCCCCCGGTAGAGGAAAACTGCAATTGCGGGACTCGCGGACTTCAAAACCAAGAAAAAAGAAACGGCACTGCTCGGTCCACTATACGCCTGACCTCAACGTGCCGCTCCTCACTAAAATAACTAGGTGCCCTCTGCATGCCGCCCCCTCCCAGATGTCCTTCCGCCCCTCCGCACCGACTTCCCCTCAAGTTCCTCGGAGCTCTCATGTGCCGCCCCTCACAGAACCCCGCCGCACTCCATGTGCCGCCCCTCCGCATATAGCTCTATCGCCGTCTGTGCCGCCCTCCCCAGAGTACCTCGGCGCTCTCTATGTGCTGCCCTCGCCACAACTTCGCGCCGCCCTCAATAAGCCGCCCTATGCTCTATCGCCATATGTGCGCCCACCCCCCGAAGTGCCTTGGCGCCCTCTATGTGGCGCCCCTCACCACAAACCCCGCCGCCCCCAATGTGCCGCCCCTCCCCACAACGCTTTACCACCGTCTGTGCCGCCCTCCATAAACGCCTTGCCGCCCTCCCCAGAGTATCTTGGCGCCCACTATGTGCCGCCCCTCGCCACAACACCCCGCCGCCCTCAACAAGCCGCCCACTCCCCACAATGCTCTATCGCAGTCGGCGCCACCCTCCCAAGGCACCTTGCCGCCGATACGTGCCGCCCCTCCCCAGACGCCTTTCTGCCCTTACGCGCCTCCCCTTCCCAGAATGCGTCAAAAGGTTTAATGATTCGCCCCTCCCTATAACGCTCCATCGACGTCTGTGCTGCTCTCGTCAGGCGCTGTGCCACCTCTCCCCGGAATGCTAGCCCTCGCTGGCCCGGGGGGGGGGGCGTTTTTCGCCCCTAACCCTGGCGAATATTTGCGATAGCTCGGTCACGGGTGCTTAAATTGCTGCTGTTTACATATAATAACAACGCATTGACTTGGCGAATTGTGCTGAAACGTCTCCGATAGGTGAACATCGTGCGGACCGGGGGATTCATAATTCCATGCCTAAGTATCACAGTTTGGTTGCTACTCTTAACGTGCGCAAATGAAGGACGTGCGCACGTTTTGGCGGGCTCTGTATGCTGCCCAACACAAAGTGTTGCATTTTGGGCTCGATAAGTCTAAGGGATTCGCCTATGCGAATTCAGCCCATGAGAGCGTCAGGTGAGACGCTCTGATCGCAAACAACCATCGAAGTCGCGAAAAGGCCCTGTGTGATTGCTTGATGTAAACATTCCGAGCCAACGAGTAGTGCCCTGAGCGCGCAGCAAGACTCAAGAGTAGAGCTGAGCACTTGAAAGAGTCCTCGGTCTACTGTGGGGCCCTTGAGTGGGTGAGGAGTCTTTGGCTGGATCCCGTCCTGCAGGCTCACGCCTGGAATGGGTCCTCTTTAGGCAGGCTCGAAAGCTTAGGGGCCATCAGAGGCCGGTGTGGGGCTCTGAGAGTTAAGCGTGGCTGCTTAAAAGTTGTGTACTGCTTTCAGAAGGCCTGTGCGTTGGGCACCCAAAGACCAGCGTGGTGCCTTAAAATGCCAGTGTTACGCCCTCAGAGATGCACTGGTCAAGCCCTTTGAGGTTCTCAGAGGCGTCGGCGTGGTGCTCTCACAGGCGGGTGTGTGATCCGTTGAGGTTTTGGCGTGATACCCTCAGAGGCCGGCGTCGCGTGGTGCTCTTAGAAGCTGGTGGGGGCTTCCAGAGTCTTCAGTGTAGGACCCTCAGAGTCACCGGTGAGGACTCTCAGCATCACCGGTGAGTGGCCGGGCCGTGGGCAATGAGCCGGTATGGGACCCTCAGAGGAAGGCACCGGTGTGAGACTCAAGAGAGGTCAGTGTGAAGCCTTTACAGTTGCCCGTGTGGGGCAGTGAGTGCACTGGCGTGGTGCCTTCCGAAGGCCGGTATGGGATTGAAGCTTAGCGAGGTGATAAAGGACTTAAGTGGTGCCTTCGGTAGGACCGGTTCGGAAGCATTATTGTGGGGGTCCTCAGAGGTATTATTGCTGACTGAGGCCAAAGAGGTGCCGGTGTGGACCCTCAGAAGTGCTAGTGTTAGGCCCTGAGAGACGCCAGTGAGGTTCCTCACAGGCGCCTTTGTGGGCCCTCAGAGACACTGGTGTGGGGCCGTTACAGACGAATGTGGGGCCCATAGAGGCTAGCGCTGCTGGTCTGAACCCCTTACAAGCCGGCAGGGGGCTCTCAGAGACCAGCAAGGGGCCCTCAGGCCAGCAAAGGGCTCCCATAGGCCGGCGATACCTTCAGAAGCTCTGTGTGGTCCTTAGAGACCAGCACAATACTTTCAGACGCCGGTGGGGCCCTCAGAGTCGCCGATGTAGGGCACTCAAAAGTCACCGGTGGGTGGTCGTCAGATGCGCTGGTGTGGGGCTTTCAGAGGCGCCGATGTTGGGTCCTCAGAGCCGCTGATAAAGGTCCTAAAGAGGCACGGTGTGGGGCCCTCAGGAGTGCCAGCGTGGGGCCCTCAGAAGCACTGGTATGAGGCCCTCAGAGGTGGCAGTGTGGGGGCACTCAGAAGCGCCGGTGTAGGACCTGCACAGTCGCCGGTGAAGCCCTTCACAGGCGCCAATGTGGAGTCCCTCAGAGACACAGGGCCATCAGAGGCGCGAGCTGCTGTTGTGGACCCTTCATAAGCCGACAAGGGGATTTCAGAAGTCGGTGGTGCCTTGAGGAGCCCTGTGGGGTCCTTAAACACCGGCATGGTTTTCTCAGATGCTGCTGGTACCCTCCGAGTCACCAGTGTGAGGCCGTGAGAGCCACTGGTGTGGGGCCCTCAGGACCGCCGATACAGGGCCTTTAGACACTGGTGTAGGCCGTCAGAGTTGGGGGGGGGGGACCCTCAGATACGCCGGTTTGGGACCTCATAGGCGCCGGTGAGGGCCCTCAGAGTCGCCGTTATGGGCCCTCAGAAATTTGTGTGGGGCTATCACAGGCGGGTTCGAGGCCACTAGAGGTGGCCCGTAATAGGCCGGTAAGGGCCCTCAGAAGCCAGCAAGGGACACTCAGAAGGTGGCGTAGGGCCTTTATGGAGAACTTAGTGTGGCTACTCAGGGGCCCATGGGATGTCCTTACTCCTTACGAGCCCTGTGGGGCACTTCTGAGTCGAAATATGACAGAAATATGGTCAGCAAACCCTCAACGGCCAATTGGCGCCACAGGGCCCCTCGTGCCCGTGTGGGGGACCTTCGGGACCTGTTTAGGCCCTCAGAGGCGCCGGTGAGGGCTATTAGTCGCCATTACGGGGCCCTCAAAGAAATTGGTGTGGGACCGTCACAGACGGGTGTGGCCTGGGGCCCCTAGAGCTGGCCCCTAATGGACCGGTAAGGCCCCTCAGGCTGGTTAGGACGCTCTGGCCGGTAAGGGCCCTGAGGCCGGTAAGGGCCCTTAGAGACCGCTGAGGCCCCCCCCCCGCTTTCGACGCCCATGGTCAGATCCCATTGCAATTGAACTCACCTGAATGAAATGAACTATTGAAGAGTGTGCCTATCATTTATCAATCCGGTGCGTAGTAGCAAAGTCAAACTGCCAGCAGCGGGCTGACCACCCATCTTACGCATGCATATCTACCGCATAAAGTACCAGTATCTCGAACACCAGAGCTGTGGCGTGTTCTCTGCGTCTGCCCCTTATAACGTGTAGTCAGTTGACTGCTGATTATTGTTCGTATTTCACAAAGCGTAAGAATTTGACACACAAAAGCGACACAGTAAATGCCCTCAAGTACTCACCTCTGGCTCCCGAAACACAAGTGCCGCCCTTCCCTTGGCATTTGATGCCGCCCCCGGAGGGAGTTATTTCCAGCCCATTTTTTTAGGAGTGATTACGCCCCTGACAAGGCGCACCAGCAGTTGCTACTACCGGAGTGGAGCGCCTGCACATATGTTTGCGCGAAAACAGGCATGGTTCAAGATGCAAATAAGAGTAGTTGTGTGTACATAATTGATGCAGGAGAAAGACAAAGTCAATGCTACTTTAAATGTGTCCATGGTAAAGTGCATTTCGCAAGACGGAGACAAAACAAGGCGGTTAGTGAAAGTCATACAGAGCGTCGCCTAGGGCTTCCGCCAACAAACCCTTAAAGGTTTTGTAGTTAGGTTCCATTACGACGTGCTCCGGGAGGGAGTTCCATAGTCTCACACCGCGCACCGAGAATGACCTACGCCTGACATCAGTGTGCGAGCGGGGATGGAAAATCTTAAAGCAATGTCCGCGCATGCCTAACTGAGGAGGTAGAGTGAACAAGTCAGCGGGGGACACCGCACATTTGTCATGGAACACCTTCCAGTACTGAATCATATCAGCCCTTAGCAGTCTGCCTTGAATTGAATACAAGTTCAGCGATGAGAGCCGGGACCGATAATCCAGACTCGACAGGCCAGCGATATGCTTGGTCCAGCGACGCTGGACCGACTCCAGAGCGCGCAGGTCCCCCAGGTACCCAGTGTGCCACACACA